ACAGGCTCTAGACATCAGCCGACGTGCCCTCGGCGAGGACCACCCCGACACGGCGTCCTCCTGCAACAACCTGGCCGGGGTGCTGCAGGCGCTGGGCCGCCTGGGGGAGGCGGAGCCGCTGCTGAAGAAGTGAGCAGGGGGGCATGACAGGAGGCAGGAGGCAGGACAGGGCGGGGCGGGACAGGAGGCGGGAAAGGAGGCGGGACGGGGCCTTTTTAAACTCCCCTTCCCCGGTATCCTTCGCCCACTCCTTACCGGTACATGCGCTGCAACTAACTAACTAATCAACTATCTAACCAACTTCCTAACCGACCAGGTCACTGGAGGTCACCAAACGCACGCTGGGTGAGCGGCACCCGCACACCGCCACCAACTACAACAACCTGGGGGTGCTGTACCGCTCCAGGGGGGATGTACGAGCAGCCCGGGAGAACTTCGAGGCGGCGTACCACATCACCGTGGCGGTGCTGGGTATGGAACACGCGGACACGGCCACGGCCACCTGCAATCTGGCAGTCTCGATGATGGTGGGTGGGGGATATTAGAGGGGAGCATGGCAGCGTGTGTTTTTTTTGGGGGGGGAAGTGTATGCGAGTGTGGGGAATGATATGGTGTGGGGCAATATCAAGGAGGGAAACACCTATGCCGACAGCAGCCCGCTGTCGAGGCAACGTAATACAAGGTGTGTGCAGCTGGATCGACAACTTATCTTTGTTTTCAGTACGTGAGCAGTAATAGCAAATGGCGATGTCCCACGGCGAGGCGTGTGTGTGTGTGCGTGTGTGTGTGTGTGTGCGTGTGCGTGTGTGTGTGTGTGTGTGTGTGTGCGTGTGTGTGTGTGTGTGTGTGTGAGAGAGAGAGAGAGAGAGAGAGAGAGAGAGAGAGAGAGAGAGAGAGAGAGTGATGCGGTGTGAAGGGGAGGAAAAAAAGAAGCATCCGTTTTTATTCCCCAGATGGTTTTTTCTTTGCACCAGTACGACATGGGTACGGCAAGGTGCGTCGATTTTACCTTCCCGTGAGGTGATGTCCCGACATCTGTTGGATGACTCTGTACGAAGTCTTCTGCCGTACCTTTCCCCGGCAATGCGTACGAAGGCGGAGGGGAGGCTGAGGGAGGCTGAGGAGCTGCTGCGGCTGGGATTGGAGGTGGGCTCGGGGGAAGGGGGAGGGAGGGCGGGGAGCCCCGGGGGTCGTGCAAACAAACCCAAACTCAAATGACACACACACACACACATGCACACACACACGCCGTATCGGAATGCTTGACCCTCTCACACGCCCTCTCCGCACCTTCCGGGCTGTGTGAGGGTTTGGTAAGAGCAGGGGCCCCCAAAGGGCTGGGAGCTACGGCAAAGAGCGGGGAGCCTGAAGGCATGGAGAGGATGCCGAAACGCTTCCGTCGGATTCCGGATCCAGATCCGGATCTTCAAACCCTGTGAAAATGTTTCACCGATTTGAGGACTTTCATCATGAGGAGGTCCATCCCCATTGCTACACCCGAAAGAACCTTCCCGCGCCGCATTTCTTTGCTGATGTCGTACGTTTGCACCGTACGTGCGAATCTGCACCGTACGTTCGTCCGTACGTATGTACGACCATGTGCTCCCTGCAGGGCGCCGAGCCGATTTTGGGAAGCTCTCATTTGAGTGTCCGTCAGATGCTCACTGCCCTGGCATCGGTGCTCAAGGTGGGGGGGCGGGTTGGGAGGAACGGGGTGGGCGGGAGGATGACTGGGGAGCTACTGCTACTGCTGCTGCTACTGCTACTGCGACTGGTTAAATGCTACTGCTACTGCTAATTCGACCATCAGCATTCGGCCATTAACGGTCAACCCTAGCAACCCCGAGTGGTGGTCTCCCGGACAGGACACCACCACCACCACCACCACCGCTAAGCGGACAGATTGCCATGACGTGTCGCAGGATCAAGGTCGTACAGAGGAGGCAGAGGAGGTCTTCCAACGGGCGGTTCCGGAGCCGCCGACCTCCACACCGCTGCAACACCCGACGGAGGCCGTACACCCCACAGCGACTGCGGCGGCGGTAGCGGTAGCGGCCGCAGAACCGCTGGCGACGGCGGTCGAGGCGGGGGGTGCGGAGGTAGCGGCAGCGGCGGCGGGTGCCGCACGCCAGGAGCCGCCGGGCCCCAGCGACGGCAGCGGCGGCGGCGGTCGTGAGTCGCGGCGGTCCATTGCCGTACCAGTCTACATGCCGCTGTCGGCGGCACCTCTGGGCCGACAGCCTTCCGACGGGCAAGAGCCGCTAGGTACGGAAGATCATGGCCCTGTTGCCCGCGGCCTAGAATCCACGGGGTCTGGGTGTCGTACCGTTAGGGGGAAAAGCAGCTATGTGGCCGGGGGGCCGCGGCTGGATAGGAGTGAGGGTTTCCGGATCGGGATCAGCTACTCCTGTCGCGTTCCACACACACACACACACACACACACACACACACACACACACACACACACACACACACACACACACACACATAGCCAAACCCCAAAACACCCACACAACCCCGACGTCTTCTCCCCAACTATCTGCCGGTCTACCGTACACCTGTCGTACACCTGCTGCTGCCTTTCTGTGCCTTGCCGCAACCCCCCGCACTTCACCCCCTTTACCTTCACACCAATTATACACGTGGCACACATACACGTAATGTCGTAGATGTCGTAAATGTCGTAAACTTCGTCTTCCCAGCTTTTGCAACCGGGGTGCACTTGGCCAGATAGGGCTCTTAAACTTCCGTATCAGCATCATTATTATAATTATTTTATTGTTATTATTATTATTATTATTTATTATTATTATTAGTTATGTTATTATTATCATTATTATCATCATCATCTTAGTCATCTTGGATAGAAGGTACGGTACACTAGAGAGCCTACCCCCCTTCAGTGCGATGTCAGTGACGTCGCCGCCGCCGCCGCCGCCGCCGCCGCCGCCACACCGCAGATCCAGTTTCCCCCGGCGGCGCGGTCGGAGGTTGGTGGGCCCGTCGCGACGAAGCTGCCGACGATGATCACGAGGGAGCCGAGCGGCCACCCTCGCCGCCGTCGTCGCCACCGCGCCCGCTGCCTCGCGGGCCGCTTCCGCCGCCGACACCGCCGCTCGCGAAACAAAAACAACAACCGAACCAACCGAACCAACTGCCGACGGCGGAGGCGGAGGCTAACGGACGTTCTGGTGCTGCCGGCGGAGGCGCTTGCTTATCAGAGCGTTTGTTGGCGCCGGAAGTTCGCTCAGCGGCGGTGACGATACAATCCCACCGGCGAGGCTATCTAGCCCGGCGCCGCCTCGCTGAGATGCGCCGGGAAGCCGCCGCTGCTGCCCGGGCAGCGGCAGCGGCGCCGACGGCGGCGGGGAGGGGGCCACAGCGGGGGCCGCATCAGGAGCTCTTAGCAGCACAGCAGGAGCAGCCGGGGGTGGCGGCTGACAGTAGCAGCAGCAGCAGCAGCAGCAGCAGCGGCGGCGGGCTAAGGAGCCGCACAAGTGAAGGTACGGCAGGTCAGGTGGAGCAGCAGCACAGGGCGGCAGCTGCAACACGGATCCAAGCCTACCACCACCAGATGGGGCGTGCGGCGCGTAGTCGCAATGCGGCGGCGATGCGTGGCTCCGTGGCTGGGACAGCGGCGGCGGCGGCGGCGGCGGAAGGGCC